GCTCAGAGACAGAATTGTGGCAAGGCACAGATCTGGCCATGGTTACAAAAAAATTTCTGCTGCACTTAAGGTTCCCAAGAGCACAGTGGCCTCCATTCCTTAAATGGAAGACGTTTGGGATGACCAGAACCCTTCCTAGAGCTGGCCGTCCGGCCAAACTGAGCTATCGGGGGGGAAGAGCCTTGGTGAGAGAGGTAAAGAAGAACCCAAAGATCAGTGTGGCTGAGCTCCAGAGATGCAGTCGGGAGATGGGAGAAAGTTTTAGAAAGTCAACCATCACTGCAGCCCTCCACCAGTCGGGGCTTTATGGCAGAGTGGCCCGACGGAAGCCTCTCCTCCGTGCAAGACACATGAAAGCCCGCATGGAGTTGTGAGATGGTGAGAAATAAGATTCTCTGGTCTGACCAAGATATAACTTTTTGGCCTTAATTCTAAGCGGTATGTGTGGAGAAAACCAGGCACTGCTCATCACCTGTCCCAACAGTGAAGCATGGTGGTGGCAGCATCATGCTGTGGGGGTGTTTTTCAGCTGCAGGGACAGGACGACTGGTTGGAATTGAGGGAAAGATGAATGCGGCCAAGTACAGGGATATCCTGGATGAAAACCTTCTCCAGAGTGCTCAGGACCTCAGACTGGGCCGAAGGTTTACCTTCCAACAAGACAATGACCCTAAGCACACAGCTAAAATAACGAAGGAGTGGCTTCACAGCAACTCTGTGACTGTTCTTGAATGGCCCAGCCAGTTCCCTGACTTAAACCCAATTGAGCATCTCTGGAGAGACCTAAAAATGGCTGTCCACCAACGTTTACTATCCAACCTGACAGAACTGGAGAGGATCTGCAAGGAGGGATGGCAGAGGATCCCCAAATCCAGGTGTGAAAAACTTGTTGCATCTTTCCCAAAAAGACTCATGGCTGTATTAGATCAAAAGGGTGCTTCTACTAAATACTGAGCAAAGGGTCTGAATACTTAGGACCATGTGATATTTCAGTTTTTCTTTTTTAATAAATTTGCAAAAATGTCAACAATTCTGTGTTTTTCTGTCAATATGGGGTGCTGTGTGTACATTAATGAGGAAAAAAAATTAACTTAAATGATTTTAGCAAATGGCTGCAATATAACAAAGAGTGAAAAATTTAAGGGGGTCTGAATACTTTCCGTACCCACTGTATATATATTCAGTCAAACCAAAAATTATTAAGACAAAACGTGCAGGACACTACAGTTCATTCATGTAAGTGAGGAGAGCAAAATAAAGTAAACTGTGACGTATTATACCCAAAAATTCTTCATACAGTGGACTACCAGTAAAATTGATAAAAAATGTGGGAAAAGTTTCAAAAATTGATAAAACATTTGGGACCAAACATTATTCAGACATTTGACCTGACCATGTTTTGCTTAAGTGCTATATGACTTTATCAAGATGAATTTGTTCTGACACAGTTTAACATATTTTATTACCATTTTCTAAACTATAGCGAATAAACTGTGATAATGTGAGAAATGTTGAAGGTGTCTCAATAAATGTTGCTTTGACTGTATATATATTGTATAATACTGATACATTAAAAAGTGTATTGTGCATTGAGAAAACAATTAGAGTCAGCCAGATGGCAACAGTTAAGGGCAGAGGCAATGCCTCTTATAGTTAACAATATCATTTGTTTTATTTAACATTTATTTAACATGTTCTTGGCTTAACCCCAGTACACTTCTCAACATATGAATTTGACTTTGAAAATGTTCAATTGTTTAAATTACTCAATTAATGTTACAATCAACATATATTGTAACATTGTATTATCAACATTGCCATTGCATTCAGAGATAGTGAGAATGTGAAATATTGTTAAATGTAAAGTCAACCAAACAGGCGTTGCACTTCACCATCTAACAGGAGAGCAGTGTGCTTTAGTTTAGTAAATCACTACTACATGTACAGACCTGTTTAGCTTGTACAGTTTAGCCTGTGTGGAAATGGCCATGCAATAGTGAACACAACGGTGACCTAAACATGGAAACATCTAAATGAACTGGTTTTGTTCAAGTGAAAAATACTATTTAACATCACTGAGCCACCTCGAATTCTCAGATCGAGTTCTTTTAAAACCTGAGCTAGAAATAAACCTGAATGAATTAATAATGATTAATTCCCTTACAAATAAGTAAATTATTACAAACTTACACACTTCAGTTTACACCAACAAAACTCATTTTATGGGTTAAATCAAGCAGAAAGAGCTCTTTAAGGTAACACTTGCAGGTCAATACTTTTAACAGTGAAGAGTGAATGTGTTCAATAAAACACTTTAGTTGTTTAACACACTGAAAAGTTTCAAAGCAGCGCTTAATTTAGAGGCTTTTTTCATAGATGGGTCATTTTTGAGCGGTGTGTGTAAACGTGATGCAGTAACACAAAACCCAGGAAAACTTAAATAATAATAGGTGTTCACTGAAAACAATAGTTTAAATATTAATAAATGGTAGTGAATGAATGTTCTGCATCAGAAGGTGTTTTCATAGCTTGTGCATCAGAGGGTTTATTAAGAATATAGTCATGTGTATAATTCATATAGAGTCATGCAGGTTTCTCAGATAAATGGTCAAACAGCTCTTATTATTGTGGACGGTCGTCTGTAATGAAGCCAGTGATATTTTCAGTCAGCTGCTCAGTTTCAGCTTTAGATGTCAGTAAATCTGCACTGATTTCACACGAGCAGCTGAAGCATTTCTATTACATTCATTTATTCATTTACTTTGACTTCATCTGGAGCGGTTTACACTCATCTGAATAATGACACCATATATTGTCTTCTGCTTTATATCTGACATTAAAATTGAATTCATTCCTTCATAATCCAACACTGATGCTGTTATTGTCCTGTTTATTAATATAAAGCTGTGTAGCGACTCAGCTCATGGGAAATATGAATAATTAACCATAACTAGTTATAATTAATTATGAATATTTTAGATCAGAAAATCAGGGTTTGCTGACCTCTCAGGGTCAACTGTCTTGTCAATTCTAAGAACGTTAATTTCCTGGTTAAGGGAAATAAATTTCTTACTGTAAATCTGCGTGATTAAGTGACTCCAGTTATAAGCAAACAATGAACCACGTCAAGTGTGATACAAGTAAGGTTTTATTAACTACATAAACACTTAAACTAGTCTAACATACTACATAAACACATAAACTGGTCTAACATACACATACACACACACACACACACACATACAGTTGGTATAGGAAAGGGTTAAAGTTTAACTCAGTACAGAAAGAG